TTAGCAGAAGCTAATTTAGCAATCGATTGTATATATGGTTTCCATGAAAGGTCAGTAGTAAGCGATAATCCAAGAAGACGTAAAGAGGACAACTCAGTAAGAGGATTGCCATTCATTAATATAGGAATGTTGACCATATTACGGTAGTTGTTTGCAGTAAGCAATTGGGTTTTTTTAGAGTTGAAATTCACAAGCCACTGTGAACCCCAATCTATTACTGAAGTGAGATCGGGTTCAAGATCAGCTGCTTGTTCTAGGCGATCGAAAAGAGAAGACTTTTTGTCAAGACAAGAGTATAAAGTTGAGCCATCAGCAAAAAGAGCTACTTTAGATGAAAGGTTGTCAGGATGATTGTTTATGTAGATAAGAAACAAAACAGGGCCCAGGATGGAACCTTGGGAGCCCCAGAAGTTACTGGAAATAAAGAAGAGTGTTGTACTTCAAGGATGACTTTAATAAACCGGTTAGAAGGAAATGATTTGATAATCTCAAAAACTTTCCCAGAAACACCATATGAAGCAAGCTTATGGAGAAGACCAGCATGCCAAACTTTGTCGAAAGCTTTAGATATGTCGAGAGCAATAGCCCTAGCCTCACCGCCTCCATCTAATGCATGATAAAATCTTTCAGTTACAGCAGTTAGCAAGTCGGCCGTAGAGCGAGAGGATCGAAAACCGTATTGATTGTTTGACAGTAGTTTATTTGACTCAAGATGAGATGTGAGGAATTTGTTGATCAAAGACTCAAAGACCTTGCTAATAACAGAAAGAAGACTGATCGGACGATAATTGGAGGGGTCAGAATTTTCTCCAGAGTTTTTGAACCACAGATGCCATTTTCCAACAAGCAGGAAAATAAGACTCAGTCAAACACTTGTTAAATAGTTTAGAGAGAATTGAAGAAAGTTCTGGAGAACGATTCTGCAAGACTGTGACAGGAATGTTATCTGGACCACAAGCTGTAGATGAGTTTAATTGAGATATGACTTTAGCAACAGAAGCCGGAGTGATTTGAATGTCTAACAATGGGTCAACCTGTTTGACTGGAATGGAAGGAAGAGAATGTCCATAAGATTCAAGAGTGGAATTAGAAGAAAAGTTCTTTGCAAATAGTTTTGCCTTATCCTTGGGAGAGGTAATAAGATCAGTCCCATGAATGAGAGATGGAATGTTAGATCTTCACTACAAAACAGCCAAAACCCTAACCTCACCCAAATTTGTAAAGCACTAATATTTTTTGAAGAAATAATATGGATAGTGAGAGTAGTGAATTTAATATCAATTAATATAACAAATTTAAAATAAAATAAAAAATATATATAAGTTAATAAGATAAATATATAAAATAAAATATAAAGTTTATAAACAAAAATAACAAAAAACAATTAATTAAAATGTAAATAATAATATAAAATAATAAAAATTATTCTTATAGAAAATTACAAAATACTCAACTACACTACCAATGTGATAAATGTTGTTAAATAAAAATTTATTAAAATATACAAGTTGCTGAGATAGACACCTTTTTGATAAATAAACTCAAGTCCATAGTGTAGAAATGTATTTAAAATTATATATAAAATAATAAAAACTACAAAACCATGCAACACCACCATGGATACCTAGACCAAATGTTGCTAACCAGTTAAAAAACAGGTTTTAAATAAAACATAGTAATAACAACAAAAACAGTAGACAAAACCATTACAACGTAAAACATTAAAAATTAGGAGGAAAAGAAAAAAAAACCAAAAAAACCATATAAGTATAAAAAATGACAACCCAAAAACCAACATTTTTACATATATATACACACACACGCATACACATATATGTAAAGTATGTAACAATGCAGTCATAACTCCCTAGCCTACCACTAATTATTATAGCATAATATTGTCAACAAAAAAAATAATATGATATTATATACATACATATTCATAGATACACACATACCAATGGTTGTTGAAGAAAGTATTGTATGTCCAAGGACAATTATACATAAATAAACTCAGATATGTAACAGAAAAAAAAAGCACTCTCCCGTAGGAACAGTAATTATGTATGTGATCGTATCTCTACGTTATAGTTATATTACTAAAAATCAGCGTGAAAACTTCTAATCCTGAAACACATCTAGCCAACCCAGCCATACTACAAATGACCTTTGAGGGATGTAGCATCCATACATAGGATTTATATTATCTTCTGGTTCTAAAAGTTATAATTGTGTGTATATAAATATATATATATATATATATATATATATATATATATATATATATATATATATATATATATATATATATATATATATATATACATATATATAATATATATATATATATATATATATATATATATATATATATATATATATATACATATATATAATATATATATATGCATGTATATATAAATATGTATATATAAATTAGTAAAAAATCACTTGTCAAACTTTTTTTTTTTTGAATTAAATTTAAAAAGATCATTTTACACTGTTTCATATGTCAACCTGGGTCTCAAAAGAAGCATGTTTTTATAGAGATTTTTGAAAACATAAATATTTTTCTTTAAAACTTGTTGATAAAAAAAATTTTGCTCAAGACTTTAAAAAATTGTAACAAAATGTTTTTTAGCAATAGTACAAAAAGTACTTATTTTTTTTACAAACGAAAAACATTTTTGAAATTTCTATGAAAATACACTTCTTTTGAGACCCAGGTTGACATACTTTCGAATAATTTTTTTCAATAATATTAGGGATTTTACCCTAAATACTAAAGATTTGAACCCTAGTATCTTTACAACTTGATGTGATTGTGAAAAATGAGTTGCATATTTGAAATTAAAATGAAAAATGCTATAAAAAAAACTAATTGTTTGCTCGGCAACAGAGGGAAAAAAAAATTTATGTTGACCTGTGTAATAAATCATTATTTAAACTGAATGCAAGTTTTTGTTTATTTTATATATATATATATATATATATATATATATATATATATATATATAATATATATATATAAAATAAACAAAAATAAATTAAATAAACTATATGCAGTATCCCTCATTTGCAATTTATCTATTTTAAAATTACCAGTTTACTATTTTAAAATGTTACTATTTGTAAATAATATATATATCTATATATATATATATATATATATATATATATATATATATATATATATATATATATATATATATATATATATATATATATATATATATATATATATATATATATATATATATATATATATATATATATATATATAATTTACAAATAGTAACATTTTAAAATAGTAAATTGGTAATTTTAAAATAGATAAATTTCAAATGAGGGATACTGCATATAGTTAATTTCAATAAAATGACAAAATAAGAATAAGCTCTATCATATGAAATAACTTTTCTATAGTTTCTATACCAGGGGTACCAGGTTTTTCTCCAAAGCTTAAAAAAATATTCTTAAAAGAAGGATACTTAGTGTTAAATCAAACTCAAATTTAAGATCTTTATTATTATCATAAAAAATAAATTTAAATTATCTTATACCAGCCATCCTAGAACCTTGATAATTTTCTACCACATGTGTATATTTGTATCACCAGACACTTTTCTTGTGAATCACGGTAAACATTAAACCCAGTTTTAATTGAATGTTATTAAAAAAAACCAAACCATAATAGTAAGTTATTTCTCAAGATTTGAAAAAATTAGGTTTAGTGTTTACCATCATTCACAAGAAAATTGTCTGGTGATACAAATATACACATGTGGTTGAAAAATTATGCCAAATTATCAAGTCTTGCTAATTTAAGACATTTTTTGATGAAGTTTTAATACAATTAATGAATTTTGTTTTAATTTATAATGGCACCAAAAAGTATTTTTACATTATTATTTCTAATTTACCATAAAAAAGTGCTCTTTTTTATGGTAAATGACCATAAAAAATAAATCATGCTAGAAGAGTTACAACTGCAAACAAAATATTATAGTTTTATTGGATACTCACCCCCCATGCAAAGAAATCATTATATACTCAACCACCCACCCCCAGATAAGGAAATTCAGATACTTATTCCCATGTGAAGAAATTATGGGATACTAACCCAAACCCCCAACCCCACCCCACATACACACACCCTCACACACCCACACACACCCACAAACAAGATCATTAACAACAAATAATGAAAACAACATCTATGAAGCCAACAAATACTTAAAATTAAGCACAGACAAATGTATCTGATAATTGATCGGTGTCATTGCCACAATTTAAACAGTTTTCTACTTGTTACAACTTTATTGTTTTTATTGATGAAACTGTAAAAATCAGTTACAACTTTGAAAATATATTATTGTTGATGACACCTTTAAAGAATAAAATATTTTCTTTAAAGGTGTCATTATTTGTAAAGGAGGTAATGTCTAACTTTAAAACTCTTTTACAACTCTGATAAATTTATGGAGTTTGTTATTTATAACTTTTTATTTTTTATTTTTTCAACTTTTTGTTGAAAAAAAAATTAACTCACTAGCAGTAATTTAAGATATAAATAAATTTTCTAAAAGATTAGCAAAGTTAATGCTTGTCTCATTATGCAACTTTTTGCTCTATTACTATTTGATATTTCAATATATGTAACTTTTAATACACCCTTCTTTTAATACACCTTTTTTTATACACCCTTCTTTTTTGCTATTTTAAAACTTATAGTTATTACAAAAATTTATGTTTTTCAAAAATTGATTTAAAATGCTACGATAGGTTTTTAAGGTGTAGCAAGTCGTTTGAAAAGTTGTTTATTTTAATAGTTCTTTTGTTTTTGATTATTTTTAATAAAAATTTGTATAAAAAAAAGGAAAAATGAAATTTTTATATTACTTTTCATATAATATATTTCAATTACAAGTACATAATTACATATATTTGCTATTTCCAAAGTGTTACTTCTATGATTAAAATGTTACTTTTTTATATAGAACATCCACAATTCATAATTTCTCCGAAGAATATAACAGCATACATAGGTGAACCAGCTTGGGTACATTGTCAAGGTAAAGGGTTTCCCAAACCACGAGTTTATATTTTGAGAGGCAAGAAAGATGGTGGCAACTTAAACAATTCTTATTTTGTTCAGCTTCCAAATGATACTTTTTATATAAAATCATTAAAGAAAGAATACAGCGGAGAGTATTTCTGTTGGCTTATTGAACAGTATGGGTCTATAAGTGATACTTTTTCTATAACTGTGTTAGGTTTGTTAATTTTTGTTTTGTTTGAGTTATTTGAGCTTTATGTTTTTTAGCAGAATGATGATTCATGTACCTTATCTTTTTCAGATAAAATTGTATGTAGATTTTTATTTTAGAAAAAGAAGTAAATACTGGCAAGGGAAGTCCCATGGGGAGAACAGTTGGTATAGCAGTTGGGTGTGCAGGTGTCTATATTCTGCTTGTTATCGGTTTAATGATATATTGCAGAGCAAGAAGAGCTCGTTTGTTCAAGAAAGGTAATCAACTAATAAATATATATATATATATATATATATATATATATATATATATATATATATATATATATATATATATATATATATATATATATATATATATATATATATATATATATACATACATAAATATATTATATGTGTGTATATATATATATATATATATATATATATATATATATATATATATATATACACACATATAATTTATTTATGTATGTGTATATATATATATATATATATATATATATATATATATATATATATATATATATATATATATATATATATATATATATATATAAATAAATTTATGTTCATATATTACTTTTATTTTAATAATTTTATTATTTTTTCTTTTAAAAATAAAGTTTTTTGATAGTAGCAAATCCTATTTTTAGGAAAGCTTGTTGAAGTTGATGGTGAACCATTAGCTGAAGATCATTTATTAGGTGCAAGTGACATTCCATTGGTATCAATTGAAAAATTAATTTTCAATTATGAGAATCTCCAAGAGATTATGGTTCTTGGCTATGGGAAGTTTGGCAAAGTTTTTAAAGCATATGCTAAAGGTATATGTGAAGAAGGAACAGATACTTTGGTGGCAGTCAAAGTTTTTGAAGAAACACCTGTTAATAATGTTCTTTCTGCGTTTAATAAAGAAACTGAAGATCTTATGCAATTTCAGAACAGTTATGTTGTTCGTTTACTTGGGTTGGTTCGTGAGTCACCTTTTTGTATAATCACAGAGTACTCTGAACTGGTATTGTTTATTATTGTTATTAATTTTATTAAATTTGTTTATTAGTTATTTATAATTCTAATTAAAAACTTTATAATAATATTTATTAAGCAAGTTAATTATATCCATATTATATTTATTCTTATTTATATTTATTCAGTTAAAACCATATTTGCTATGTTTACAAAAATATATAAATCAAAAAAAAAACTAAAATAAATTAAAATGCTCTAAACATTGCAGAATAAATAAAATATAAGAACTTGACCTTATATTTTAACTTTTTGTGTCAACTCGTCTTTTTGGGTCAACTTATCTTAGTGTAGATTGAATCTGAAGAAATAGACTGGTTGATGACCTCTAATTGAAATAAAGAACTAATATCTCTATTTATGATATTTTTATTTAATCTCTAGCCTAAAAACTAAGGGAGTAGATAGCCCTTGAAAGTCAGTCTGAATTTTTAGTAACCTGTTGTTACACACACATATGTAAAAATATACATGTAAATTATGTTAGTGTATTCTATAAATAGAGTGCTCAATTTTCTTAAAGAACAGAGCAATAATAAATTAGTAAAAAACTTATCTAATTTTTTTTTCGACAGTCTGTTTCTCCTAGGTTCATTAGGAAGCTACTTCCTGATATTTCTGAAACAGCCTGTTGAAGAAAAACTAGATAAGTGTTGTTAGTAATTTATATATTTACACACACATATATATATATATATATATATATATATATATATATATATATATATATATATATATATATATATATATATATCAGGGTTCCTACAGAGCCTGTTTTTCTGTTTTCATTTTAACCTGTTTTCCTATTTTTTTCCTTTTTTTAAGGCAATAGCCTGCTTTTTTAAAGTCTGACGATGTTTATATATAAAATGATATGTTTTATAGGTTTAGTAGGTAATGAAGATAAAATATTTTTCAAGCAAAATTTACTAATTTTGTTTTAGGTATAAAATCAGGTATTAGTTAAGATTTAACATCTATTTTTTTTTTTTTTTATACATCACAGACAAAAAAACAATGACACTTATGCCACGTACCATTTTCAGCAAATGATATCGTATTTGAGACATTGTTTGTAGAAAGTGTACTGCAGAAAACCTTCTTGGCCAATTTAAAAATTTCCAATTCTTTTTTTGAAGGTTTGAAATCTGAGGATATTGATTTGGACCAATTTGCAATTGATTTGCACTGTTTTTTTTTAATATTCTGCAAAAAAAAATTGAAGTATATTTTGATGCGGAATCATTCACTGAGCTCCGAGGTCAACGGATGTTGAGACATGTCTCTTGTTTGATAAGCATTCATGACGTATTAGTGAGGGTAATGGAGCAGTTTGGCAATTTGCAACAACTATAATTGGGACAGAAACTTAAAAGAAAACGAAGTGCAGAGTTGGATATGAAAATAGAAAAAAAAAAGGTCAAAAATTGCGTGACATAATTTATGGACAACCCTTTTTACTGTTTATAAAACGTTTTTACTTGTTCATTTATTATTATTAATATTTTTTTTTATATATTTTAAATTGTTTCACAAAATAGCTTGTTTTTCTAAGTAAAATCCTTTTTTTTTTTTAAAAATGTCCTGTTTTTTACCAATAACCCTGTAGGAACCCATATATATATATATATATATATATATATATATATATATATATATATATATATATATATATATATATATATATATATATATATATATATTATTTTCTACTCTTTTGTAAAGTTTTCTTATTCATGTTTTTTATATTTATTATTGGTAAACTTCTATTATTTACTTTTTATCAATTTATTATTTAGTTATTACAGTTTATTTTATTATTATTTTCCAAATTTATTATTAGAGAATTTATTTTAGGGTGACTTAAAAGAATATTTACAAACAAACAAAAATATATCTTCGTCGGCTCGTTTACATATGTGTACTTGTATTGCAAAAGGTATGAGTTATTTAGCGACATTGCATTATGTTCACCGGGACCTAGCAGCTAGAAACTGTATTTTATTTTCACAAAATGAAGTGAAGGTATCATTTCTGAGTCTGTGTAATACAACTTACAAAGACGATTATTATCTTTTAAACAATTTGCTTGCTCCTGTAAGGTGGCTTGCACCCGAATCTATTAGAGAGAATATCTATAATGAAAAGACAGACGTTTGGAGCTTTTCAGTAACTATGTGGGAAATATTTTCTAGTGAAGTACAACCTTTTCATGGTGTTTCAAATGAGGAGGTAGTCAACAGGATAGGAAAAGATTTACAGTTAACTATTCCAAGTAATTGCCCAAAAACCTTGTATAAAATCATGACTCAGTGTTGGCTTGTTAATGCCTTTGATCGACCAACCTTTGATGAACTACTGTCTCTTATGGCTGAAATAAGTCATTAAAACTGTACCGCTTAGTTGTAAAATGTACAACCACGATAGATATAATTGTACAGATTATCATTTTATTTGATAACTGCTATAGTTTATGCGCTTCTCATTCGATAGAATGATATGAATGTTTAACTAAAGAAGGTCCAATCAAAAAAGATTCAACGAAAAACAATATGAACGGATCAATGTTTCAGTGCGTCGAAAACGAAGCAGGAAATTTTAAATATTTTAACAGTATTTGAGATGAATTATTTTTATGATTTTATTTTTCTTGTATATTTTAATTACTACTGAATATAGAATACTAGTCTATGTTTGTCTATGTACTATATACTAGTCTATGTTTGTCTATGTACTATATACTAGTCTATGTTTGTCTATGTCTATGTTTAGTAGTACGCTCTTAAGTAATAAGTTTTCAAAATGATGTCAGAGCGCTGGCTTCATATTAAAGAGGTACGATGCTCAATGTCCGCTTTCTCCAAATAATGGCAGAGGCTTGAACTTCTTTGCCTCAGTGTTCTGCCAAGTTTTCTTGTAACCGAAACAATAAATATGTTTTTAAAAATTCAATTTTTGTGTCTAATAATTTTTTTTTCATTTATATATTATAAGTGTAATAGCTTTTTGTGTTCGTGTATCGTAAGATAATCTTATTTAAACATCAATTTATATCTCTCTAATGATATACGACTCCTTTAGTTTACATCAAATTAAAATAAATTAAAATAGATTAGTTAAAATAGATTTCTTTTTAAACAGCTAGTTAGTTTGTTTTCCCTAGCAATTACGTAGCAATAGAAAACTGAGACCTTTTTTTAGCCATATTAGATTAACAAATTTAATAAAGCTTCTTTTTTAGATTGAATGTGTTGTTGGGCGTGCTTTCAAGTCATATTTGCTTATAATAATTAAAATTTTGATTTTTAATTTTTGACTTGATCTTACTCTATTTATGATTTTCAATAAAATAAATTTCAAAACATGATAGTTGATAAATTTTAAAACATTACAAGATTTCTAGTTTGAATCTTAGACCATATAAACTGATAGACGTCAAAAACGCAAAATTAAAAGGATTTAAGTTTTGAGTATTTTTAAAAAGAAAATAATCTTAAAAGAACTCTTAAGAACTGAGAAAGAAAGTTTACTCCTATATAAAGTTATTTTATTTTTTAGGATTTATTTTCTTATAAAGACTATATGAATCAATTACTAAACAATTTCGTAAAGCCAAAAAATTTTTTCATTAATTGATGAAAAACCCTTGATTTTATTGGACGGTAAAAATAACGAAAACTTTAATAAATGTAATGTAGTTATATATATATATATATATATATATATATATATATATATATATATATATATATATATATATATATATATATATATATATATATATATAATTGACCAAAAAATGACTTCGTAGTTTTTTTGAATGATTATTTAAAGTATCTGCATGGTGGTGTAATCATTTTTGCTAAATTGACCAAATGATTAGATTGAACATCATTGTCAAACATATGACCTCTATTATCAATAAAAATAGAACTGCAACACTATTAAAAATATTAATAATCAATTTTGTCATTATATATTTTTTTGAAACAACCCCTTTTCTTCCTGAAAAAATCTAATCTCACTCTCTGTAAGTTGTCATATGTAAATTACGTCTTTTGATGATTGAACCAAACAGTTTAACACCGCTGTTATTTTTTATTTTTATGTTATTTTTTTTTCGTTATAAAAGTTGGAGTTAGGCAGCTTGAAATTGTTTTGCTGTGGAATTATTGTTATATCCTCCATGGCTCTTTATGGCACTCAAAACAACTTTCAAATGGTCTTGAGATAATTTATATGCATATAGATACCTTAAACTACTATTGCCATTTTAAACATAGTCGTTCCATACTCCAATAAAAGAAGTCAGGCTTACAATCATCCCAATAAAGCCTGTTTTTCTTTGACTTAAATGTATAGGCCCTCCATTGTTAGCACATTTAAGTGTTACTAAATATTCTATTGACTCTTATTTTTTTGAAAATAGCTTTTTTATTATATTGTTGTAAACGAGCTTAAAAATTCTTAGCTAATAAATTCCTGCTATTTAAAATGTCAACAATGTTATTAATATTATTGATAAATTTTTCTGTTGCTTTGCTGTTTTCAAAATCCTTAGAGTACTGACTTTCTCTTAAATAGTGTATTGCTTTTGCAACTTTTTGACTAAATATTTGTGCAGTCAACTTGGCCTTCATTTTTTCTTGAAACCAATTCATATGTATTTTTGTAAGTTTTGTTGCTAAATGCAGCCCTTTCTTTTCTTGAATAGCTACTAATTTTTCAATATAATTCCATTTTATTGGTTCATTGTTACAATCAAACATTATTTTGTGCAAACCAAATGTATTTCATATCAGTTTTAACATGTGTGGAGAATCCATTATAATATAAACTCGATTTTTTCTAACTGGATGTGAAAAAATCAATCAGCTCCAAGATGATTAGCCATACTAATATTAGACAAAACACCATTAAAAGTTAAAGTTGTTTTAGTAATTTCAACTTTGCCTAATATTTTTAAACACATTTTTACCAAGTAACTCTTTTGAATTCCTGAGATTCCATTATTTAAAAAGTAGCCGATTGGTAGTTTCCATGAATCATTTAAGCTATTTATCAAAAACACGATTGCTTCTTTTGCTTCAACTTCAGAATCACCTGGAAGTTCAGAACCAATATCGACATAACTAAAATATTGTTAGCATTTTTTGAATTATAAACCTTTTGTGTAAATGATATATCTAAATATATTAACACAACCTACCCTAAAAACATTCTATGTTTCTATTTCATCACTCATTAATGAGTAGATACACAATTTTCCTTTTTCTTTTAGTTCTGCCGATTTGAGTTTCAAGTTCTGCCGATTTCTTTTATATTTGATTTTTTCTGCCGATTTCTTTTATATTTGAGTTTCCAGTTCTGCCGATTTGAGTTTCAACTTTAACTGATTCAGATTGATATCAATGTCCAAATGTGACTACCTGATACTATTTTTAAAGGGTTCTTGGATCAGGAAGTATTTTAGTAAATGTTTTTCGAATATATAAATAAGCTTTTGAAGAATAAAAATTAAGAGTAAGAACAAAGTTTTTTAACTCCATTGGATAAGCTTTAATGCATTTGAATTTTAATGACTGTTTAAAAACGGTTTTTATAGAAGCAGGCATTGTGTCCTACAAAAATATGAAGTAATTATTATCAATAATTAAATACATTATTAACTAAACAAAATTAAAAATGAATTAAAATGAATGGATTGCTCAAATAGATACTAAAAGTCTACCTTTTAAATGCATAAATATCACCTACAAAAAATATCACTTACAGAAAATTTAAGATAGGATTCTTTATCAATCATTTGTTTTTCCTTTAAATTTTTAAGCAAGGTTAAAAAGAGGAGGTTCTATGACTGTTTTTTTTTAGAGGAGGTTCTATGGCTGTTTTTTAGAGGAGATTCTATGACTGTTTTTTCAAATTTCTCAAATAATTCCAATGATTCATCTCTGTCTAAAAAGGCAGTTTCTGAGGTATTTAGAAAGGATACAGCATCATTTATTGTTTCAATGTTTTCACACTCATTTGTGATTTTTATAGTTGCTGGAAGTTTTCTAGGTTTTACTAGCTTTACTAAACTGCTAGGAAAACCAAAAATGCTTGGTTTAGCATCTTTTTTAAGTTGCTTTTTTAAACTCCAACCACAAAAAATGAACGACTCTTGTGTAAAATGCTTTGAAAAAATTTTTGAATTCTTTGTTGGATTAAATCTTTCTCTACGCATTGCAACAACCGATTTATTTCGAATTAATAAATATTCTGCAAATCTACAACATAAAAATATTTCATAAATAAAAAGAAAACAAATTATAATTAATGTTTATATATAATCAAAAATTTTAAACAAATATCAACTGATATTACCACAGACTACTAAAACAACGGGACGCGAAACTCTAATTTCATGCAGTTTTGACGAGAGGGCCGATGAAAAAAATATATATGTACTGAGAAAAAAATATGTGTACTAAAACACTTCTATTATTAAACAAAAATATAATTATGAAAAGAAATGTAATAAAAAAATGTTATGGCTCAATTATTTGTCACTATTCTCAAACAAAAATTAAATTGTGTTGATTAAGTGTTAAAAATAAAACAACTTTTTACAAAGAAACTGTAAAACATTCGTAAATTAGCTGTAAAAAATCATTTTTAAAGACTTAATAAACTAATCAATCACTATTTATCATACTATATTATATTCATATCATAATAATAAATATATAATTATAAATAAAATTTTTATCATATAAATATAAAACCATAAATACATTTCAAAACGTTATTAGTTCTATCACCAACCTCAACTAAATAATCAGACTACACTAAGTATTGAGTTTCTTTCTTTTTCTGTTCTCAATGTTTAATGAAACAATATCAGATGTATTATCAAGAGTCGTAACACCTTTCAAGAAACAGTTAGTTATTATTGGGATAACTTTTGCAATACCTACTGTCTGTTTCTAAATCAAATGGTAATGTTGAATGCAAGAATAAAAATAATTTCTTTAAATAAACAACACATTGAAAACGTTTTTTAGACTTCAAAACGCTGTTAAAGAGTAAATAACAAACACAAATAAACTGGAGAAGAGTATCACAAGGATAACGCAATTTACCACGTGAAACATAATGTGTAAATTCAGAACTAGCTGACTGTAATGTTGTTATATCAACTACACGCTGCGGATCGATCTTGTGCTCTACATAACCAGCTTATAAAAAGGGCAGCATTCTCCTGATCATTAATAGACTCATTGTCTGCATTAATTAAACATTCATCTAAATAAATAATATCCTCTTCCATTAGATCCATTGTGCAACAGTCTGAATGTATGCGTGAGCATACATTCAGTCAGTTTCATCCAAAGAAACTATTTTGC